AATATCAAACAAAAGGGAATCATGAGGGCAGTCGTCATTCAGCCATCACTATCAAGCAGAAGTGGCGGCAGGCATTGGAGAACACCTTGCAGTATTGATGGGCACTTGTGGTTACCGTGACCCGTCGCGCAAATCGCGAAAATCGCTGAAATCAGCGAAACCTGCGACGGATCGCGGACTCTGACACTAGCCAAAGAATTGCGCTACGTGCTTTATGACAGTCTTCGATCGATATTTCCTGCATGAGACTCAGTGAAGTCATATTTTGGCCCCACACCATGTATAAATTTTTTTTTTTTTTTTTTTATTTCTTTTTTTTTTTTATTACTAACAGGCGTGAAGCTTGGGTGAAGCTTTGTGAGTTCGTTATCGTAGGCGATTTGAGGTGTTTTCCACACGACGTCGGAAACGCTAGAGGTGGGGAGGTGCTTGGTCGGGTAGATTACAAGATCAAAAAGCTTCGAGCTATCTTCAGGCCTCTGAAGAAGACGAGAAGGTCGAAACGTCAGGCCACTTAATAAAAGGTTCCATTTATCAACCTCGTGTGGCACAGAAGAATTAACAATTCGACCAATAATGCCGAGATTCTAACAAGGGACAACGTAGAGACTATTGCAAAAGCGCTCATGGTCAAGTAGCAGACCACGCCTTTTCGCATTCACAATAAGGCTTACAATTAGGTGTTGTAGACACTACCATCATGCACAATATTATAAGGAAGAATGGTGATGATCGATGTCGCTGTGAAATGTGTACTAAAGGAATGCAAAAAATTCAAAGGAGACAATAGCGTTAAGGATAAAAAGCTCGAGTCAGGCTCTATCCTAATTCTCTTCTTTTTTCTTTACTTCCTTTAAATCTAGTTTTGCTGATGACATATGAACCAATTGAGCGGATTTATATCCTTTCCCAATCCTTATGATTACGCATGCTAGCACAAAGCGATCATTTTAAAGGACGAATTCACGATCAGAGGGAAAATCGAATTAGGAAGAATTCACCTGGTTGAGGGACCCGCGGAGCTCCTAAGTGTGCGAACTGAAGCACAATTTGCACAGGAGGAGTTGACCTCGTTGACCTATTAAGGTTTAATCCCGCCGCGGCTGGTCAGTGCACGCCCACCGATCATCTGATCACTCGCCGCAGGTCTATACGTGGTGAGTGATTAGATAGGTGAGAGAGCGTAGCGTTGAAGAGGGCACAGCGATGATAGAGTCGCATCAATGCTCAAATCAACGGGCAAGGAAGGGGTCCCATTTCTCGGGTTCTGGGCCGTTTCTCATGGTTTTTCCTTCTTTAGTGTACCACTCACCATCGCTAACTTAATTTGAAATGGGTTGCCTTTCCAGCGTGAATTCGTCCTTTAAAAGAACACGCTCATTTACCGAATGGTGGTTTGAACAGCCCTTGCAAATTCCGGAGGTGAAACTGGCATGTTCGCATTCGCGTACAGTCGAACTGCCGTGCTGAACTCTTCGAGATCGTTCAAGAAGAGTGAGAAGCTAGCCCACTGACTGAGAGTGACACCCTAAAACAACTATTGAAGGGCGGCATTTCATCTGGAATTTCTGAGTGCACCTTGTCATCAGGACTTGTGCGTTCTTTTACGCGATGAATGTATTTGTGATAGTCGTCCTTGTTAACAATAGTATACCTGAAACAGTGGAAACAAGTAAGGACACCAACGTAAATTGTAACGGCGTAAATTTGCTGAATCTTCATCTCCAGATTTCATTCCATTCCAGAAACCGGCTAAAACCTTGATTGGAAGATAAGGCAAAATGGCAAATGATCACCAATAGTTACCTTAGGATAAGGCGAGCGAAATCCATTGGAGAGATGGTCGATTTGCCACGTGCGAACTCATGGAACTCAATTTCCATAATTTCCTCTTGCAGGTTCTGGTAAAATCTTTAAAGAGACCATACATAACTCAGGAAAACAGAAGGAGCTTTCAACAAGAAATGAATACTTTCTGAACTCGTTGAATGACAATTTGCCACTTCCACTGTGACCGAAAAGATGCAACAACAAAGTGGTGTCCTGCTTCTTCACCTCTTCTTCGCTTTTCTAAACAAAAAAATCTCAAGCAAGAAAGCTAAAGGTAAAACAAAGACACACGACATTCTTGAAGTTTAAAATGTTAATGCCTAGTTAGTTTCCGTTGTGAGGCAAGTAATATATGATACGAAATGAACCAACGGGAACGAGACAAGTTCCGTACAGCTGAGCAGTGCGCGCAGCAAACATTTTAGAGATCTGCAAATGGTTAGTACGTTAAAATACTGTGAAAGCTTCTTTGTACAAAGCAAAGACCGAAAAAAATTTAAATCGGATTTTCTGGTGAGGTTGAAAAGCAGAAATATAAAGGAAAAGTACATGCACACAAGTGAAGAATATGCAACATATTTACTGAAATATTCTTACTTAGTTAACAGTATCCTCCCATACGACTTCGTGCATAGAAATGTGTTTTAAATGTGCGATGAATACTTGAACTGGTGCACTGGCCTCCTTCGACTCTTTTCCTTCATCTCCCTCATGGTCAGCTCACATATTTACTTGACCGAAACTATGGCGAGTGTAAAAGAATATGTACTAGAAGTACTATTTATTTTAATATTTTCTCAGCATTTAAGTTAATCTTCTTGATCAAAAATTTGGTAAACCTCGGTTAAGAAACTTGCCCACCATTTAATATTTGTCCTGGTCGGATTAAATCTTGCTTTCGATTTTGTGGTGACCAGAAAAAATCGAGGGTAGAACTAGCCAACTCAGATACTTTTCATAGTAAAGCAATAACGCAAAATATACCCTTAGAACAAAATTAATGTGATATATGTATAATTCCCAAAGTATACCATACCATACCACGCCGCGGAACTGCTTCCAAAACAAAGAAATCTAAAATACGAAATTGATTGTGCATTCGAGATTCTGATCTTGCTAGGAGTGTTTCTACTCCTCATGGAACTTTGAACAGAGACCTAGTTAAATCGATAGACTGGGATGATGGTTACAAATGTTGAAGATCAGAAGCGCTTCGTGAACCTGTCAAGGAAGTTGTTGGCGGTCCAAGCGGTCCCAAGTTGGACTCCCCATGATGCAAAACTTTGCATTCTGGATTGGCACGCTTCCAGATTTGTGCCAAATGGCGCCTGCGCTAAGAATAGATATCATTTTCGTGATTAGGGTCACCAGGATCCCTTACAGAACCTTTATCAAATGTCTATACAAACGCTGCACTAATAGAAAACTGATCGCACACAAATACCTCGGCAAGTTCGCGTAGCAGTTTTACTTATCATATATGCAATCAGCATTGTAGGCCTTATCGACGTACTTACGTATCACTTCAAAATTTCATAGCAGCTTGAAACAATTCCTTGGTTAGAAAGAGCATTTAAGTGAAACCGCTGTCACAATCTAGACTTTTTGAGTAAGTTGCAATTAGGAAAAAACCATGAGTAAGACGTGTTTTCGACAATGTATAAATGTATTATGTTGCCCCAGGATCAGCATATTTTCTCGTGTAATTTGATTTAGTATTATCTTCAGCAGTACACACTACATCAAGACAACTGCAAAACAATGATGTACAACAATTATAACGCACAGCCAACAACACTGAGTAGTGACAAAACAAGCGTGCAAGTTTTTCAAAGATTTCAGATGACGAGGCGAAGGCGTGGGAAAATTCGCAGTTGAAAGTCGAACACAACACGCTCTTCTCCTCTGTACGGAACCGAATTAGGCCGACGTCATACTTTGCGATTCGATTAGCGATTCGCTCGATTCGCTAGCGAATTGCATCGCATCGCAAAGTATGACGTCAGCCTCATGAAATTAACGAAATCGAAGAACTACCAAAAAGAAAAATGAGGACATCATATTGGTTGTCAGAAAGTTTTGCAACTCTACAACTGCGTTTACTGCCTCACAGAGCACTGACTTCATTCCTTTCTTCTGA